AGCCCGACCGGCCCCTGGCAGCGCGCACGCAGCCGCCCCAGGAGCGTCTGGCCGGCCGCGGCAGATACTGGGCAAGCGGATATCGACCGCACTGAAAGTACATCTTCCATAGCTACTCTCGTTCCCCGGATAGACGTACAAGCTGTATATATCATATTTAAAGAGAGGAATTATTTTTTCGTGAGATGAAGGACCCTGATCTAGTTTCCTTGTTTTACTAGCCTTAGCCCCTAAGCGTCAAGATTTAATTTATTGTGAAGTGTTTCGTTTGCTGTATCCTGTACTAAGATAGTCAAGAAGGTAAATGTTCATATTAAGTCAATGTCAAGTCATATATTAGCTAGCAAAACGTATGGAAAATTAATCGTGCTGTCGGCTTATTAAAATAAGAGGTGTTGATCTTCTATAGCTAAGTATGCATCTCCTGCTTATTTGTTTCTGTACTCTAGCAACCGTGTGGTAGGCAAAACGCACGTCTTCGGCAACTGCCGGTTTCAAAAATCTGCTCTATTAGTGGCTTATTAGTGCAGCAGCAACAATAGCAAGAAGTGCAGTACGGTCTCTGCAGAGCGTGCCAAGCCCTGCATCATGCATAGGTAACGGGCCCTGGACGGCACCCAGCCTTTCAGGCGGCCTCCAACCCCTCTCCTCCACTATGAAGGCGAGCTCCTCCGAGCCTTCTGTAAACAGCTAAATTTAGAACATGAAACAGTCTTTTGATATGTTGCTGAAGCGTGGGCAACAGGCTACCTTCCTTCTCCCTAATTAGCCCTACCTTTAGCAAAGCAACCAAGCGCACATATTTCCTGGCTTTAATGGTGGTCTGGCCAAACGCTTTGAAATACTGTAAAATTTACCAGCTACTGACTTTGCAGCCTTTGTTTGTTTGTTTGTTTGTTTATTTTCACATGCTAGTGCTTGTTTCCAAATGTGATAGCAGATGAGGCCAAAAATAAGGACAAGCAAATTCAATACACGACTTAAAAGAAAGCTAATGCTTTTCTCCAAATCAGCAGGGAAAAGTGGGTCATTTGACAATTTCTGAAGAGACGAACTGATCGGAGCCATAGCCTTTGTTATAACATTGTCTATGAAATGAGCATGCAGAATAGTTCAGTCTTTTGTTTAGTACCCTCTAAAGCAATTATTTCCCTACTTTTTGTATATTGTTACACAGAAGAGTCATGTATATCATGCCTGAAGGCTGAAAGCAAGCTTTAAGTGCTTTATTTCAAATGTGCTTTTGCAGACTTTCTTCCTCATTTTGGTTCCAGGACTCGGAAGAAATGAATTTAATACAATATAACCTAAAGCAGCCAAGGTGTTATGCCTGAGGAAGGTGGCTAAACTTACAGTTCACCATTCTCATATACCAGAAATAAAACATGTTATTTTAAGTTGTGCATTTTCCAATCATTTCTTGATAACTGAGGCTTAGATAAAAATACCCATTTATCTCCTTAAATAAGTTCTCCTGTGGAGAAGGTCACTATGTTTTTTTTAAGCTATCAGTCTCCCTTCTCTACTTGCACTGTCAAAGGGCTACAGATCACACAGAAACCTAGTGATTATTACCTGTTCCCACAATTAGCACTCGAACAACCGGCCTGCAGTACCATTATCTGAAGAGCTTCATGTATTGCATCTGCTGAATCTGGGGACAAGTTTTCAATGCAGCTTTCATGCAACAGAAGATAAGGAAAGAGCTCCCGAATAACTTTGCGTATGCACCAAGTTTCTAACATGAATGAAAATTAAGCTGTATATCAACTTACTACTTCACCTGTAGTAAGCTGCTCTTACATAAACTGGAGCAAGAATCCAATCACTGAAGTGAATGAATAATATACAAAAGGTGGTAAGAATATTTTTATTGTATTATTAAATAGCATGTCTTTTCTTTAACCATTACAAATTTGTAGATACTACATGAATGACAATACAGAATTTATATTTCTATTGTTGCTGATATGATACATTTACACATGCAGTTAGTACCGATGCCATGCTACATTTTGTTACAGCATTCGTTGTTTGCCAGACTCAAAATGTGAGCATTTCATCTTCTGTAGGAAAATACCTCTGGATGGGTGTTGCAATGCGTGTACTAATCTGCACTTACAAGGTTGGAATCATAAGCATTTCAGGTCAGACTCCTGGAGCATGTTCCCTTTTCTTCCGTAGTACACATCCTCAGAGCAATGAATTTACATCAGGAAAGTGCTTTCCCCCCCTCCCCCCCCAAATGTTTGAAACGATAATATACATCTAGACCCAGCAGCCCAGTGATAAAGGCTACAAAATATGAAACTTAATGGCATTTACTATTGATATCACTTTGAAAAGCAAACATTATAAAAATATTTGGAAGCCAAGCATAAGTAGAATTTCAGCACAGTGATTTTTTTTTTCTGGTTTTCCGGCATAGGTTATGGCATCACCTCCAGTTATGAAACGATACATTGCTTTGTGAAGAAAGAGTTGGTGCTTCTAACAAGTTACTTCATTTGGACTCTGAAATGCTTGAAGGCTGTTTAAGTATTTTACTCTTAACATAAATAATCTGTACACATCCTGTGCATTAACAACGTGACATCTGACAAGGACTTTACAAATGCAACTTCAATTTAAAATTGTACATTCATTTTCAAATTGTACATATTTATTTCTTTGTTACAGAGAAAATTGCAATGGGGCATAATAAATATAGTGTAATCAAACTGCAGTCTCCAATCCCATATATGACTCAAGATCAACCAGAGTTAAAAATGACTACTGTTAGATATCACAATCATCCAGGAAGGTAAAAGGTGCAGAGAACAAATGGCACTGAAAAAAAAAAAGTAGCCTGGAGTATGATAAAAAACAAAAGCTAAAATATTAAAGTAAAATTCCAGTGTCACTGCTTAAAATAAACTTACAAAACAGGGGGTATGCTGGGAAAGGGGTGCACACACATTAGAGACATTATCCTTTAACTGAAAGCTGTGAGTCAGTGTGAGAAGGGCTGCTGCTCACTGTTTATTAGAAAGCTGCAGGTAACTCAATGCTTAGGACTTGTTGGCTGAGCCAGAGGAGCGGCGTAGTTTCATGGACATTCGGCTCTTGCTAGTCCGAGGAGACATTGGAGAGGCTAAGTCTGTTCCATCCGCCTGCGCTGTTGCTGCTGCTGGAGTTTCTCCCAGCTGAGTCTCTGGGCAGAAGCCTGCAGAGGACAGCAAGAACCGGACCTGTCAGTGCCGTCGTCCACGCGCGCAGCAAGGGGGGCTATGCACAAGGGGCAATGGGAATTTCAGTGCTGCTGTCAATCCCACAGCATATACTAGCCCTTTACCAGCTGTGGGAGACTGTCCTGCACATGGAGCTAGCAACTGCCACAAATTCACCTCTAGAGAAAAGATGATGCCAGAAACCACTCAGCTACAAGACTGCAGAAAACCCTCGCTCTCTGCAACTGAGACAGCACTGAAACGGGCAACATCATCCTGCCAACCAGGAGAACTAACACCTCAAGTTCCCTAGTAGGGATGGGGAGTTCCTATTCAAACCATAACCCAGAAGAATTCAATCTTTAATGACAACACGAAGGTTTACAGCTCATTGCGCATGAAGGGAGTTCTGGGAATGCAGCTGAAGAGGTGGAGTGAATTGGGGGTGAATTGGGAGAGTAAATAATCTTCTCCCATCTAATCGTGAGTCAGAGCTTCAAAAGGTAAATTCCTACAGGGCCCGCAAGGCAGAAGCTTGAACAGATCATGCTAAATGATGCACTATACATCACATTTTCTTTGTAAAAGGAACAAGATGAATTTGAGATTACAGTATGCAGTTCATTACCCAAGCACCCAGAGCTACTCTACAGTGGGCCCTGAGCCCTTTTTTCCAGAGCTCTTCTCCTTACAAGCAGACTATCAGAATCCTCCATCTCAAAATCCTTTTCCATAAAGAGACACAAAAGGAAAAGGAGAAAATCTAAAATCAGAATTACATTCTCCTTCCTGTGTACAGGAAAAAAAAATTAACACTATGGACTCACATACACAAAACTAAACTGTATTTTAATTAGCTGTTTACAGAGACTGACAGACTGATTGAACTCAATTACCTCAATCCCTACTGATCACTTCTGACCTGTACAAATTATGGACGGAAGCCTAGTCCTGTAGAATTCTATAGAAAAAATCCCTGCTGACTTCAGTAAGCCAGAATGTCATTTGCTATTTCTTTCACATCATACTACTAGTGGTAATTCTTTAAAATAATAATGCAACAACCAGAACGAAAGATCTCTCTCCCTCAGCATACATTCTACATACAATGGGTGCAAAAACAAAAATTCAAAACTGAACATAATTTATTTTGAAAGATTCGTCCAAAAGAAAATCACAGGTCATCAAGCAAGAAGTCTAACAGTACATTTAAAATATATTGTCATAAAGCTAAATGATTTAGCAACCTGAATGCCTTCCTTGTCTGGTCCATCACCTGCCTGCTCCAAAGAGACGACACAATACTTTCTATCTTGTTCAAACTGACGCGACCCATCGAAGTGACAGGGAGGAAAAAGGGCTGCTATTTGTTCCCCAGCTGGTGACAGTAATTCTGTTCATGAACTAGGTACTTCATTGCCAAACAATCTGGAAAAGCATGATAATGCCTGACTCACTGTGCCTTATTTAAAAAAAAAAAAAGGCAAGCAGGGAAACATGCACTCTCATTTTCTGAAATTCTATCTTGTTCTAATTTTACAAGGAATTAAAGCATTTGAAATGGTGGAAGTTAGAGAATAGAAAATAACCGTTGTTGTTTTGCACAGCATACCATTCACAGCTAGCGTGAAAGACCTTCCGTTTCAAGCCTTTGCCCTTTACCTTGATGTGGCCAATGCTTTCTAGTGGAGGTTTTGGAAGGAGAAGAAATATCACAGCATTTCTTTCTTTGTTGAGAATGAAGAAGTGATGAGGAAGGAGAAGTGGAAAGAAGTGAGGCAGGGGGAGGAGAAAAGATAAAAGATAACAGGTGTGAGACATGAGACACGAATCGCAAAGATTGAAGGGTATTAACAGATGAGCACAGGAAACAGAATTTAGAATTTCATTATGTAATTGCTGTTCATGCTACAGGTTAAAGAGAGTGATGAGTTAGTTATGTGCAATGAAGCAACAGCTCTGAAATCAGGTGTCATACTTACCAACTAAGCATTACAAGAAAAAAAGGAAGAGAGAGAGAAAGAAAAGAATTCTATAACATTATCTAGATCCAGCAACCTTTTTATAGCAACTGAGATACATCCTAAACATTGTCTCAAATGCTTTATTAAAAGTCTGTGAAAACAGTTAAATACTCACACACATACACACAATCTAGAAGGAAAAACAAATAGCAACTTGATATATGGCTTCTGCTCCCCAGCTGTTTCACATTTTTAAGTATGCTAGAATTACAGCCAGTCTCAACATGAGACTCCTGAAATCACGCAAAGGAGAAAAAACATAGTATTTAAGCTAGTTAGTCTGAGTCAAAGGGTAAAATTGTAGTGTGAAATTTTATCAAGAGTGTCACATTGGATAAAGAACACCTTTAAAAATTGCTATTTTGATTAAGATATTATTCTTGTCCCCCTGAAATTTTGTGTATAATTCCTGCGACAGATATCAGAAAGCACAGATTTACATGTAATCCCATTCAAAAAAAAACTGACTCAGATTTACTGAAGAACAGAAGACATAAGTGATTTTCACATCTGAACGTATCACACCAGAAGAGTGAAGAATAATGGCACTTAAAATATATTTTAGTCTGACAGCAATCAACAGACTGTTTAATAACTCAATTTCTTTGGATTTTAGATATGAATACACACACACACACACACACACACACACACACACACACACACACACACGTGGATATTAAATGTGGTATATACAAATTCTGTGAGATCTTCCCCCTCATAGTTTTTAAACTTTAAATCTTTAGGGTAAAATGTTCTGTCTTTCTATTTCTATACTGAAACGTTTAGTTACCCAAAATATAAAAATAGGGTTAAATAAGACGCTTTGTTGACAACTGACTTAGAATCAGAAAGTATTAAATAAAAAAAGACGTATTAACATTTTGAAGAGTTTGAAAAATGTCATAAAGTGAACCTTTTTTTTTTTTTTTTTTTTCATCTCCTAGGTTTGACAATTGACCAGACTGGAATAAAGAAATTTGATGAGCTATGATATTTTGGGGCCATAATATAAAGTTGCTTCAATTGTTTATGAAGAAAGAAATTAAACAGCAAAGTTGAAATTAGATATTTTCACATTCTATTTGAAATTTTTAGGCTCTTCTAAAAAGCTATGTTGGCTATCTGACTCAGAAATTAACTATTTAAATGTAAAATGGAATACTGATTACACCTGCACTTTTGAGTTAAAAGTGAAATTGGAGGAATCCACACATATCATAGTATGCTCTTTTTTGTCGTAATAAATTCTGATAGAGTAAAAGTTTGCATCTTGCTGGTCAAATCTGACTTTCCAAAAGGTGAAAAATGCACAGAGTTAAAGTCTGAAAGGGTGCTGACATACTGCATGTCCTGACTACTCTCAGTACTTTCAGCTCTACCACACCAGTTGCTTGGATCAACGTTTTCCAGAGTGCCATTTCTGAGAATGACAAAAGAGGGGAACACCATTTGCGCATATTAGCAAATTTCAATGACTTTTTAAGATACTTTAGTCCCCTACCTCAACTTCAGGGAAGAGGGTAATATTTTGTACAGCATGTACCTTCTGCCCCTCTTACAAATACTGGTCTAAATCTGGACGAGTTGTCAGCCCCAATAAACATATGCTCAGCAGAGCCTTGCTAGAGTCAAGGTATTAAATCTCCCAAAAATTGAAGAAAGGAAGCAAGAAGGGGATCCAGAGAAAAAGACTGCAAAAGCAGCTGCAAAGCAAATGGAGCGGGTGAGGAGGAGAGGCTGAGCAGCCTAAAGATCTGGGAGACTGGAAGTGGGTAGGGCAGTGAGAATTAAGAGCCACACATGAAGAACAGAGCAAGAAGGACCAAGTTCATGGGGAGTGAGCAGAAGAACCTATGCTCCATAAAGGATGCTCCTCAGAACCTGGCTGGAAACACGACTTCTTGGTCAACCAGATCCTCTGTGCAAGCAAAGATCTGTGAAGCTCATTGGCAAAACTTCCCATCTTTCCACTAGTAGAGGTTCAGGCAGAGGTTAGACAGCTTACTACTGCTACAAATCAGTGAGCTATCTCAATTTGCGGAGGTTGGTGTTGGATCTACAGGTTATAATTTTGCTGATGAATCATGTGGCCATTGATTAGTATTACAGAATTTCTCCTTTTGCCCTAATGCCTTAAACAAAGCAAACATGGAAGGAATTAACACATGGAAAATGCTGTTACAGACATTCAATTTGTTAAGCCAAACATTTGCAAGCTAGGAAATGTCAGAATTAAAATTGCATATAGAGCCTTAATTTCATCCCTTTGTGCATATGCATAGGAAGTTTTTTTAATTGGATTATCACATTTATTTTTTCATTGGACCAAGTTCATTAAATGTACAGAGTTGATTCGTTTGGGTCTCTGGCAGTCCACACTATTGCCTCAAAGTGCCCACCTTCCCACGCCCCAGGTGGCTGACTCAAGGAAAATAGTTCAGAAATCTGTAAAGATTGAGCTTCAGTTCTTCCAATGTGTTATTTTTGGAAAATTTCAGTCCTTTTTGTGATTTTGTTCTGATTTGAAATGAAAGAAGTTCTTCATAAGTCTGGACTGGAGAAGGGATAATGGGAAGCTCTTCCCAGCCCTGCCAGACATACAGCCTCCGTAATACATTTTTGTACTGCAGCTGTGCTTCAGAACACAAACTGCAACCGCCACCACCAAGAGTCTTGCTTAGACTATCCTACAGTGAGAAAAGCACCATCATTCTCATCTGTAAAGGGGTAACAGAGGGCCAGAAAGATTAAGTTATCTATTCAAAGTTACACAGCAAATGAAGAGCAGAGGAGATTATGATGCTGGCTATTTTATCAAGCTACTGAATTTGAATTTCTCCTGTGCAAGGCTAAAGTATCATTACCTCTACATTCCCCTGCTTCTTTACTTCTAAGTTGGCAACCTCACTTACTTTGGGATTGGGGCAGTTGGATTGTTCTGAACAATGACTTGAAAATACATGAACGACTGCTGGGAGCAAAACCTCTTCTGCTTGCATCTCAGGTACGAGACTAATTTAGAGAGACCCCCTTCTTTATAGAGCTTACTATACTGAGGTACTACTTCTAGTAGCCTGAGATAGAAAAAAAGAAGACAGAGAAAAAACAAAACCCAGAACATGAGTAGTATTGAAAACTCAGAATCTTAGCATCATGGGGTTAATAAGCCCTTCAATACCATTGAGCTTGCCACTGACAGGTTTCTCAACCTCTTCTGCATCACAGAAATCTGGTTTACTCAATAGCTGAATAACAGGAAATACTATTTTTGCAGTTACTCTATTTATCCAACAGTCATCACAAAGAAAAAAAATACAGAGGCAACTCCACTATGTTCTGTGATCAAAGTGCAGGTATATCTCATTTTTTCAAATGTACACATTTACTCTGCTAGTCAGATTCCTAAACATGGGAGGTGGAATTTTCAGATGCCATTTTGACAGGGCAATGTAAATATCTGGATAAAACAGCAGCAGCCACTCTCACAGATACAGTTCTTCCTGAGGAAAGAAACTTTGACAAAATATGTCAATCTGAGGAAACACTATTTATTATTGAATGGCATGTGCTCCATTTGCTCTGGTTTTCATAGTTCCAGTGGCAAAATCAGCATGCTGAAACTGGCCAATGGGACCACAGCAATAAAAAAAATTACATCGGTTGGGGACGGTCTGTAGTAGCTTCATAGTTCCTACACATCTTTTTTTCTTAGAAGGAGAAAGTGTAATAATATTTCATAAAAATTAAACAACTTCAGCAACAGTAGCCTTGGAGATCAAGAACTATAACCCGGAAAATTTTTCCAGTCTCTTCCATCCAATTATTTTTCGTAAATAGCAGATATAATTTTTTTTTTTTAAATAATAGTTACGACACTCATTTTTAGAAGCTAGTCAGAAATTTTCAGATGAGGTAAAAATATCAGGCAGGGAACCTGAGAGATTTTGAGACATCTGGGGGAGGTTATATGTGTGTAGATTTCAAGATAGGACTCCAGTGCCACTCCTGTAATGTGGCAGGACTTAGAGCTCTGGACCTGTCTTTCAAGAAATATGCCTGTTGTAGGGACCCTGGAAACTTGAGAGTATCTTATTTTTTAACAGTACATATGCTGAATTCGTTCTTGGGATCAAGCTTCCTCAAAGTTCTGGGTCTTCTGGAGCCACCTCTCTTGCAGGTCTGCACTAGAATGAGAAATCAGTGATTTTCAGGCTAACCAAGCGCTGGGGTCACCTGTTGGGCAGATGACTGCAGTATTTATTTAAACCTGCCTCATGCTTTGGAATTTGGGCCCTCTAGAGTCATCAGCTCACAGGCAGACGGTGTGCTGCTATTCCAGGTGCTCTGTCCCGGACCTGAGGATGAGAGCACCAGAAGCCCTGGACCAAAGCTGGGTCAGCCCCGAAGCTCAGGCAGGGCCCTGCAGTGCTGGGAATCTAGGCTGGAATCAGGATACCTAGAGCATCCCCAACTTCCCTGCACTGCAATTAAAACTCATAGTCAGGGAGGCCTGGATACAGGTCTCTTGACTCTGGTGCTGGGTCAGACTGTGCTGTGTGTCTGTTCTAGGAAGCTCCTCGCTGCTCCTGACGTTGATGTGTTGGCCAGTTCCACTAAACAGCGTAACATCCAGAAGACTGTGTCCCTTAGGATGGGACGTCGTGTTTTGTGGTAGGTAAACACATGCATGTGCACACTAGGATGTGAAATAAATCACAAGTTCCTACTAATGAGATTGTGGCAGAAAAGTAGTACGTTTGATAGAAAGGTTAAGTCGAAGAATAAGTTTTTCAATCATTTGGTCTTTCCAGATTAAGTTATACAGTATCAAGTATGACTAGGATGATTTTTAGAGTAATATAGGAATTGCTACTGTAGAGCAGTGTTCTGTAACAGTCCGGTGCATTGGAGAAAAGCAGCTTTGGTTCACCCCTGAAGGAATGAATTAGGTGAACTGTGCAATATGATTTAGCCTGGAATGAGATTTTCTTAAGTGAAGAGGTAGAACCAATGTAAGTTCAAATGCACTTTACCAATACAAATGCAAATACAATTCTTACTAGCAATGCAAAAGTCTCTGATGTTGAATACTTACAGAGTGCATTAGGGAGGAAAAAGGTCAAGGACTGATATCCCTGGTTATTGCTTTTATGTTTCTAGTTAGAGATCTTTCCCATTCAAGTGTTTTTACACTTATTTTTTCTCAAGCAGCTTAACATTCTGTATCAGTTAAGTTTGCTGGTTGACAAAGAGATTAATTAAATCATATTACTATTTTTTGTACTAGTGTAATTTGTCTTACGTTATTGGCTTTTAATTTAGCTTCCCTTGGTTCTTGACTGTTTGCACCGGCTTAACTATACCCTTTATTATACTCTTGAAATCGCCCCTCATTACTTTCAAACAAAAGGGATCTCAATGTTTTTAACATCTGTCAGTCACTCCTTCTGTAGTCCTAATCTGGACTCTTCTAAAAACTGTAGAACTCATTTCTGCACATTTTTGCGATCAGCGAACAAAATTTTTAGGTAACTTACCATGTCTAATTCATTCTTACAAAATTTGTTTTGCTGAGAATTATAGCTTTTCCACAGTAGTATTTTGATTTAATTGGCATTAAATAAAGGTTTCTTAATAAAGAATTTCAAGTGTTACACATTCTTCTTCTCCTTCTCTCCTATGTTATCACTGCAGAATGTTTGACAACATCAATGAAAGACAGTACAGGGTACAAAACACACCACTGCCATCCAGTACTACTTGTTCATGCTGAGAAACAAAGGTCAACACAATAAAGTGTTACTCATTCAATGACTGTCTCTACCATTAGTTACCTTCATCCCAGAACCAGTGTTAGTGCTTCATGCAGACCTGAGGTTAGTAAAAGACTAAAACTTTAAAAAGATGTAGTGGTCATTTCTCAATCAGTGTGAAATTCTTTTTAGTGTGAACAAGGGCAACAAGGAAAGTTTGCATACAACTTGGTTACAAGCTTAGTGGTCTAGTAAAAGTAATAGGAACAAAGGGTTTTTTTGGACACTTTGTCTTACCTTCGGATAAACAGAACTGATATTTAATGATCTAAAAAGAGGGGAAATAAAATAAATGAAATAATCATAAGGAGTTCAAGAAATTTCAGAACAGGAAGGCCTTCAGTTACTCATTTTCTGATTTTTTTATTAGTAACTGAAAATGCAGTATTCACTTATAAAACAGGTATTTTACTAGAAACCAAAAATGACCTTAAAAACAATTTTGTGGATCGTAACCTGAAACAAAATTGACGATTACAAGGCCCTTAGCTTTCCAATTTAAAACTATACATTCTAGCAATTTAGTAAATTTAAAACTTACTTATAGAGAACATGTACACACGTTAATGGATGTATCTGCCTGAACTAGCCTTGATGAAGTACCAGCACTTTCATGGAGATTTTAAATAGGCAAACATGATAAAATTCACTGCAGAAAACCGGGCTCTGAGTGCTATACTGAAATGTTTTCCCAAATCTTAATGCTAGGCATCAGTTCACAGTGCCAGATAACACAATAAGGATTCACAGGCAACTTTCCTCAGGGTTCTTATATATGTAAATATAGTCTTTTGGACTAATGGTAACTCTTAATGATATGTGAAGGTCTGAACGTGTAATCTTTATAAGTAAGGATACTGCATTTTAAGTGAGATTGTGTAAAAACAGCTCTTCACTGTATTTCTTACCTGTCTCGGAGGGCAGGTGGTGGTAAGGCGCTGGACAGAAAACCTGAGCAGCAAAATCCTCAAAAGTTGTAGGTTCTAGATGATGTTGAACAATTGTTTGCAGGTATCGTGCTCTTTCCTCATAACTGATTTAGCCAAGAATTAAGGAGCAATTTAAAGTCACGTACTATAACTGCTAAATATCAATGTGTAATAATTCAGAATTCTTATTTTTGTTAAACTCATATCATTTATTTCTGTGATTGCATATAATTTCTTTTAAACCTTTACATAACTATCACATTACCTGTTGCACTGAAATAATATTAACTGTAAGATAAGCAGGATTAATGTGAACATTATGGCTCAGCTATCTTGTTTTCAACAGTCTGATGCAATACTTCACGAAAATTCTTTCAAGCAACAGCAACTGAAATACTCCGTTAATTAACTCATTTGGCTCTACACTGGTTACAATTAAGTACAAAAATTTTACAATTTTTAAGAGGTATGGCATGAACAATAATGTTAGTATTAACAAAATAAATTATTTTTTACTTTTCAATAAAAAACTGCTTCCATAATCCCTGAACACACACATGCAGTTAAGATAAATACATAGCTAAATGTGAGTATTGGGAAAAACACTTCGTCAATTATGCCATTAAAACAAGCAAGAATATTTGCAAAGAATCTGCAGGACCCTTAAGTACTGGCTAACAGGGTGTCGGCAGGGCACTGACAGCAAAACACTGTACTTCTTCCTTTTCACTGCATTCTCCCTCTCTGATATTATTGACAAGAGACCAGTATCTTGAAGTGTTGTTGCTTTTGAAGAACCCTCTCCAGGCTTCTTGTTCCAGCAGGCCTGATTGTGCTGTTAGCACAGAGAGAGCGAGAAAAAGAGAGAATATTTCTGCTGTTCATGAAAGCAACTATGGAAATGGCTGTCAAAATGTAGAGCAGCAGGCAGCAACATACAATTATCAAGAAAAACTACCATGCTGACTTCACGCCGTATAGTTCCCGAACTGAGAAATCAGTTAACCTTTTCTCTCACAACTTTCAAAGTTCTCCAGCTGGACTCAGTATGTTGAATGAGGGAGGCCTTCCTAAGCTACCTTATGTAATCGTAAAATGATCAGAAATGTTTCCTGGCATTTATTCTTGTGCATATTTTTGTTTTCCATATTTTATTTGCAGATAGTGAGATCATGTTCTCCTTAGATACTTGCCTCCTTTTCTGATAAAGCCAAACAACCAAACGGAAACACCCTGGCATGCTGTAGAGGAATGCAATCAGAAATAGTTCTCTGAAGTTTCTGAGTTCTGATTTTAGGTTTGCAGTTGTTATTTTGGGGGGTGGGAGCAGTAAAGAAGAGAATCTACTGCCTCAATTCACCATCTGTGAAGTGGAGATAATATTCTTCTATGTATACATATTTTCATCAATCCAAACATGGGAATTGCATTCCAAGTGATAGACATATCTTAAGAAGAAGGGCTAACATTTTAAATAAACAACTATACTACTTTCAGTTATGATCAGCAATTCTCATCCCTGAACCAGAGCTGAAAACAGTACCCATCACCTTAGCTATTAAAACTACACTTCAACAATTACAGAACTGTTCCTATAAACCCATGTTTGCAATTGTTTGCTGTACAATATTTACAGTAGATTTTGCAGTCTAAGTATGAAAAATGTATAAAGTATCTGAAACAATCTTCTAGTGAATAAAAGCATCTTCATCGTATTTCCTTAGACCACAACTTGATCACACAGTGAAACTACGAAACGTTTTTTTCCCCCTAAGTTTGTGTTCCAAATTCTTTCTGGATCCTCAGATAGCTGAACCTCAGGAGAATTCTGAACCTGCAGAATCTACAAGAGAAGCACTGGGACAAGAGAAAATATAAAAATCTTCCATTGTAAAGATTCTTCCATTGCGGGATAAACACAGTATTGAGCCTTAACACAGGACAGTAATATAGCACAGTTTTTAAGAGGCTATGTATAAGTGTTAGAGGATGAAACTGATGGTTGAAGTCTAAATAATACTACATATCTCACAACTTGTTGAAAAGCACTTTTTTCATTGGGGGAGATTCACAGCTGCTGAATTTTCTGCAGTTAATAGAGTCCTTTGATTCACAGCAGTGCCCCTTGCACAAAAAATACTGGCCTTTGTGTATTACCAGAAACTAATTTTCTATTTGGCTGAAAAGGGAAAAATGGGGTTATTGCTTCTCCCTCCTACAGAGCTTTTCATTATGCCTGATGCACTCAACTTCTAAGCTCTTCTGAGAAAAAAAAAATAACTGAAGAGGCAAGAGGTAGAAAAATGAGCTTGTTAGCACATTAGAAGTGAAGTATCTTGGTGGGCCCTAGAAATTCCCAGTGGTGTGTTAACTTATCACTCTATGCATGCTGGCACTGATAGTCTCCCAATTGATCACTCTCTTTTCGCACCAAAGGTGCTGCCAGGAAGCAAAGGCTGAAGGCCCACAGGAGAACAGGCTGCTATCAAAACAAGCTGTTTTTAAAAGTCTGCTTGAATGGGTAAAATGTTTCATGAAAAAGTAGGGTGGAGACACCTACCCGCTTTTAAAATGCTATACTTTCAGAGGTCTCTAAAGGAAACCTTTTAGTTTATATCTTATTATATCCAAAGCTTATACACAAATAAGGCAGAAAGGAAGGAAAGCTACTATTTTGAATGTGACAAGGACATTCACGTTCTCCAGTCTGGACACCTATCTCCTAACCAAACAAAGAAGTCTTGACACAGATGCTGTCTGAGGAGAATAATGCTGTTTTATTATATAGAGAAGTAAGAAGTAACAGAGTAATAAGTAACAGAGAAGACGGGCTTTCACCAGTTCTAGTAGGCTAATTCAAATGTACACTTAGTACAGTCACAGAAAAATAATTCAGCTAGCTAAGCTGCCTCTTTTCTTAACAATCTACAAAACTGTCCGCAGCTTTTGAAAACAGAACTCCACTTAAAAACAAAATAAAATGTGTTGTGAAAGCCAAGTCCAAAGTTTGCAATATTCTGCACTAAGGAATGACATATTCTCCTTAGAAGAACCCCTTTCCTGCGTTAGAAACTGAACAGCTGAGATTTGGATGTTCATATCTTCTATTCATTTATATTTCAAGAATATTTTAATATTTAAAAACTCCAAATTTGCATGCTTTTGTGGCTGAGACAATCTAGTTTTACACTACGTTTGAATGCAACTATCTGCAAGAGTGACCATAATCCCATAGTAGTTAATTTCTACAGCACTTCTAATAGGCTGGACATTTATTCTTTTAAAATGCTGCTCTCTAGGGAAGCGTTATTAGCACCTATAAATTGAATGGCACATACAAACTCAATGGCTAGTAATAATAGGGCAATGCAAGCTATACTCTTACTGTGAGTGGACGTTGCCGCTGGCATCAGCAATTAAGATGGAATGGGAAGGATGCACAGACAAACCAGTGGAGAACCTGGCACAGAGAGTGACTAAACACATAAGTTAACAATACCGGGAGCTTTCTGCTGCTGAAGAAGGTGCTAAATGGAACAAAAGAAAAAGGATAAAAAGGTAAGATACCTACATTAATTAGACAGGTACTCTCCCTAGTCTGTCAGCTAAATACTTAGAGATATTTAATCCACCAAAAGCATAACAAAAAAATCTAAAGGATTTCCTGAAATGACTCCATTATATTTTTTCAGAAGTTTTTGTTCTGAAAAATAGAAGCAATATAGGAAAAAAACAGAAATTGCACCTTTAGAGGTCACTCAGGTTTCAGGCACTGCAAATAAAATCTCATTTGCATTACATCTATTTTACGTATTTTCGTAATCTTCAGTTATTTCTATTAACGGAAACATGCAATCACTTTTAGGCCTGCTGATTTGCACTTGTGAACAAGCACTGAAGTCCTAGTGGTCAGATCTTCTACTTATGCTTAGTCTGTCTGAAAAACAACATCTCATGTCTTCACCTCATTGCTCTTCATCACTGTTGATTCCATTATTTTAACTCAAGTTCTGTTTAGATCCCTATGGCAGACATCATCTACATCTCACAGATTCTTATTGCATAACCTAAGCTAAAACTTTTTCTAGCCATCTACATGAACAAATTGTCCAGGCTCTTACTTTGTATCTCAGTTACTGCCATATCCTTTTCTCTAGCCTCAACAAATGAATTTTTATCCCTCCTAATATCCACTCAGAACACTGTAAGCCCACTTTCTGAACAAACCGCTAAGATGAGGCATTCTCTTCAGACACCTCCACTGATTTGCCATTCCCTAGCACAGACACAGGCTACTTATTTTAACTTAATAGTCAATACCATCACCTTCAGTTTTACCAAAACTACTCCTGCCTTCAGTCAGTTGACAGTCACTCTCATTCACATGACATTTTTAGCCAAGCACTTTTGTATTTTCTTTCACGTGGCTTTTTATGCTTAGCACAAGTTCTCTGCAAGGGTCCACGAAAATCTCCCTTCAAACACTCCCCTTTGCTATCGTGCTTATTTAAAAATAAATGAACAAAGAAAACTTCTTGGAAGATTTTAGTCTGCTGCTGTGTAGATCACATAACTATTCATGCTATCCACTGTCTACATTTCATACTTCCATGTATTTCACATCTGCCTTCATGTGCTGTCTTTTGTTTTATAACTTCTGGGGGACAAACAACATCTGCTTTGTGCTGTACATCATCTCAGTATAATGTGATTGTGTTCTACGATAAGGATACATATGGACTGCAATAATACAAGTAAAATCTCTCTCTCCTTTTATTAATTCTATGCATCTTCATCCACTATCTTCATCCTTTTCCTTCACATCCAAAGTAACTCCTTCACACTGCCAACTTTTTTTTTAAGCTGTGGCTTTGCCATCCTTCAATTTGATGGGCAAAACCTGTTCACTATCGTTTCTCATATCTCTCAGTGATTTAGTCTTAAATTTTCCTTTCTCCAGTCTCCAAAAAATCACGTACTCACCTCTGTCCAGCCTCTTCTAGGTATCTGGCTGTTTAGGTTATCGGAAGGACGCAGGCAGTTCTAGCATGTGCTGGAGGCAGCAGACTTCCAGGGAAAGCTAGCAGTGAAAGCTTTAGGTAGT